TGGTCGCTATTAAAAATTTAATCTATTGTTGAATTTATATATGGGCCCAAATTAGGGACATTTAGGCCGACATTACATCCATTTCCCCCACATCAAAGTGGATGCACTTCAATGTGTCGAAAATATTATGTAATATTACTTGCCAAAAAGGACAAAATTGTCATTAATACAGTGCTTGAACTGACATTACGCTGCTTTTACTGCATTTGTTTATTTTTGTGGCCATAAAAATCACATGAGATTTTCGACATTATTTATGATTTATTTTTTGTGGTGTGGTTCTCTCATTAAATTCCAGTTTTCCCGGTTCAATGCCACCCTGAGAATCTTATTCTTCTGAAGCGAGGACAAAGTATATTTTTTCCCGATTTGTCATCAAAATTCACGGTCATTTCCCGGTTTTCTCCCGATGATTTCAAATCCCCGGCGTTTTCCCGGTTTTCCGGTTTACTGGTCACCCTGGAAACATTCAGACCGTGGTTTTCTAACCTAAAGACACAATTCTGGGAGATGCCCCGAAGAAAATTTGATTTTTTTAACTCCACGAATATAATCGTTAAGATATTATGTTTCGAGGTGATTTTCCTGGTGGATTTGTCAAATTCCCAACTTTTTCCTGCACAGCAAAAAAATAATTTTGATATCACATCAAAATGGATGCACTACAATCATGTCGAAAATTTCAAGTAATTTTTATGACCACATAAATAAACAAATGCAGTAAAAGCAGCGTAATGCCAGTTCATGCATTGTATTAATGATAATTTTGTCCTTTTTAGCAGGTAATATTACATCATATTTTCGACATGATTGTAGTGCATCCACTTTGACGTGATATCAAAATTATTTTTTTGCTGTGTGTTCAAAATAAAATCCAGACTATTTCCCAATTCTTCTGGTAGAGTTGCCACCCTGCCTACCAATTTCTAAAGCGAACACACCTCAATTCTTTGCCTAACACATCAAGTTTTGAATGCGCAGTATGTTCTAACGACTTCGCCAATCAAATGGTTGAACCTAATGGCCAAGTGCATTACATTTCATAACTCTTAACCACACCATTTCCAATTGCATCCAACACAGTATTGTCTAACGCGTTAGTCTCACTTATGCCGCTGTTGCTCGAAACACTCCATAACCAATGAATGTTTGCAACCAATCGAGCCCTCCGTAACCAGAACTGTTGGAAAAAGGTCCCCCGCGCAACTCTTTGCATCAGATCGGCCCTTTCGCTGCCAAAGGTTTAGCAATTTCTACAACCATGCATTGCCACGACCTTATCTTCGATCACCATCGCCGCACCAGGCCTGCTTTCGATCAATGAACGGCCGAGTACTTGAGCACATGATTCGTTCCACCACACAAACGCAAGCTAATATAAATCGACGGACGAAAAATGCTGCTATTCTTTCTCTTTCGTTCACCACATCAAAACCTGGTTCGATTGAAGCGACATGGCCACCGCGGGTGGTGTTGTGGCAGGTTGCAGATATTACGTGCATGTAATTTATATTTAGTCATATTCGCGCATTGACGAGAAATGGTTACGCCGGCGTGCGGCCGATTGCGGTTTGATCTTAAGCCTGTTTAACGGTGGGGAGCTTAAGAAACGTTACGCAACCTAGGACGACGCTAGATGGTCAGTGCTCGCTTAAGACCTAACCGGGAAGTAGTTAATGCTCGCACCAGGTTACGCGCCAATCAACCCAGCCATCGATCAGTTGGTAATAAGACGATGATGTGGAAAATATTATTCTACGGGTAGGTATTTTGCACCTTTCTCGTTTGAGAAAGTCTGTTATAATGAATCTCGAGCTGTTGACTGGACAAGACAGAATGGTATAAAGCCAATTTGTTGTGCAAAATGAGCTACGGTATCTATTCAAGTATTATGTTTCAATTTACGGCTTTAACCAAATTCAGGCTTATCACATTACCTTAAAAAGTCGATTGGAAAATGCTTCTAAATATATTTAACATATCTTCTACACAATTTTACCGCAAAATTGCAGTTGGGACGTAATAGCTGCAAAGAAGAAGAAAGATGTCTATCGAAATTTAAATGTTCCATCCCTCTAAATGCTTGTATGTGTGAGTTTGGGTGGGTTAGAAGGCGCCCCTGCTGCGGTGTGGTGTACAAACAGTGCATAATAACACATTTTGCGTATTCAGAGAACGCTTTTGCTGAAAGAGACTGACGCGACACCGGGTGAATTTTATGTGTTGCTCGGTTTATTTTCTTACAGCTTCAAACGACTGCTATCGATGTGCGTCGTCTTCGCTTGCAGATCTTTGTTGTATGGATTAGCTCATCTTTGCACTTTTTTATTATTATTTGCCTTGAGGTTATTACAATAACAGTTGACAAGTTAAAGTGGGTGTGCTTCTGAATTTTAAGCAACGCAGCCGTTGCGAAACTTTAGTCCAACACATCGGAAAGACGCACCGAGAAAATTGTGTTGATGCATTATTTGCTTTATTTGCTCACCATGACCATGACCATGATTGACCGCCCACGGTTGCTACTCTGTTATTGCCAGACCAGCTGTAATTACACAGAGAACCAATAGACGATGCTTGGTACTAGCAATCATCCTCAATGTGTAAAAACTGGTGATCTCGAATTAGGCAATACCAGCGCCAGCCGCGCCTGAACGCAGGTCAAGAAATGAATGGGTAGGAATGTGTTGACGTGACACTCGCTTTGATGGAAGCCGAGAACACCTCTGCACTTCCACGAGGAATCACTGGGATATTGGGTAATAGGGTTGGGTTTGCAGCAGGGTTCGTTTTGGTAAACGATAAGCTGAATTGATGTCCTAACAATCATATAACGCGAAGGAGCTTGGGATTGAACCCACGGTCTTCTGCTCAGTAAGCAAAAACGTTTGCCACTAGGCAGACGCTTCTTTTTAATCATCGAGTTGCTGTTATTACCATGTAGTCATGTTAACAAATAAAACGATTGACGAATCTTGAATGTGGATGGGCTTGAGATTAGGCTCATGATGTTCTGCTCATTAAGCAAAACCGGTTGCTCTAAGGCCACCGAGCCCCTCATATCACTTTTTAAGCGTTACTCAAGTTTTTATAACTATTCAAACCCGGCACCGACGACAACGAAAAGTTTTACAAAATACACGATAAACAAGTGATCTTACCATACATTTTTAATATGAAAGGACCTGGGTCAGACGATCCTAAAACTAAAAGCTACGAAAGAGTACTTAGGCCTTCATTAAGATCCACTTTCACGCGACGTTCAATGTTTCGATTTTCTCTTTACGCATGGTTTAGGCAATCATAACAAGCTTTGACCGACGTGACGATTGTTTAAGACGTTATTTGCTTTATTATTTGCTCACATATTTCTAATAAGCTAATTTGATCCGGGTCTCTGAAACCTTATTGGCAAAATCTGAAATTCTCAGGGAGTAAGCTCGTTATCGTTGGAATAATTTTCAAATTTCTTCACAATGTTAGACTGTCAGTACTCTGAAACCCTGTACATATTTCAAGTCCAAAATCACGACCAATTTTAAATCAAATTGTTATTGGAAACATGTGTTTTTCGCTGCTTATAAACCACGTCGACACTTAAGAGTCCGCCAATTGAGGGTGTCGACTCGATGATGAAAAACTACAAGGGACAGCCCTAAGGGGTTGAAAGCAATGGTGACGTAGGACTACGTGGTCTTATATAATAAATCTTATTTGTTAACTGCCGCAGGAGCTTGTGTTTTGTGTAGGAATAGGCATTTGAGCGGGGTTCTCTCTGTTTATCCTCTTAATATGACGCGCTTGACATAGATGGCCCACAGCAACTCACGAAGCGCTACTGATTCCGCTCAATAGCGGTGCGGTCAAATAGTGACTTATAATTGAGCGGTTCCACGAACAAGTGGGAAATTTTTCCAGTTTTTATTTTTTGTATTTTTTGATTTGCATGAAACCTTGCATACAAGTTTTTGGGGAAGAAAAACGCCGTTTTGCATACTTGGGTCGCCATTTTGAATCTAGCCTTACTTATGAGAAGGGCCTATGAAAAATGCACATGATATCTTCAAAAAATTGTATCTCGGAAACGGTTTGTCCGATTGGTTTGATGTCTTGGGCGAAGTTTTAGACAATTGTTGGTGTTATATGGAGAAAATATGCACGGTAAAAAAAAAGTTTGGTATTTGTGTTTTGAACTAAAATATAAATTTTCCCTTTAAAGTGACATGTCAATAATTTTTTTATTATCCTTATGTTATAGCTGACTGAAAATGCTATCTAGTGCACAGTAGGTTGTTCTGGAGAAAAATAGGTTACAATGAAAAAAATTGTTTTTAAAAAAATACAATTTTCAAAAAAGCTATTCAGAAAAGTCAAAAAAGTTTGTCACCCTAATTTTATGAAAGTACATCAAATTTGCAAACAAAAAGTACTTCGGTAACATTTTTCTAAGATGCACCGTTTAGAAGATATTACTGATTTAATATTGTTTTTTTTGATAACTTAATAAGTTTTGGCCCTTTTCGGATGTACTCCGTGTTTTTCCAGTTTCAAAAGTATTTTTTTCGGAAAGATTGGAAAATTTTGAGTTAAAATGACACTGACAGCTTAAAGATTCGAGTGAAATTCTCTGCCTTAAAAGTATTTTGAAAAACAAGTTACAAAATCCCACTATCAGGAACAATGATTTCTTCAAATGATTTTTGGTGCGTTGTGCTGAAAATGTGCATTCAACGTCCGCATTTGGCGGATTCATGTCCTTTGGAAAGAAATGGACAGAATTGGCCTCATACCACTCCAGGACACTTTTAGAATAGTGGCATGATGCCAAATCTGGCCAAAATAGCGGAGCTTCGTCGTGCTGCTGCAAGAACGGCAAAAGGCGCTTCTCGAGGCACTCAGATTTGTAGATCTCGCCATTTACTGTGCCCTTTGTCACGAAAGGCTCACTCCTCAGTCCGCAAGAGCAGATGGCCTGCCAAATGAGATATTTGGAGGCGAACTTCGACATTTTCTTCTTCTTAAATTTGTCGTCCACATCGAACTTGCTCTTGCCGGTGAAAAACTCCAACCCCGGAATTTGCTTAAAATCGGCTTTTATATACGTTTCGTCGTCCATCACACAGCAGCCATATTTTGTCAGCATCTTCTCGTAGAGCTTCCATGCCCGAGTTTTAGCCGTCGATTGTTGCCGCTCATCGCGGTTTGGGAAGTTCTGTACCTTGTATGTATGTAGTCCAGCGCTCTTCTTTGCATTCTGGACGTAGCTCTGCGACATGCCAATCTTTTTAGCCAAATCACGGCTTGAGACGTTGGGATTTGCTTTAATCATCCGCTTCACCTTTCCCTCCGTCTTTTTGTTCTCCGGTCCTGGTTTGCTTCCAGCTCCTTTGCCGTGGTCCAACGTCAACCGCTCCTGGAACCGCTTCAACACTCTGGAGACGGTTGAATGGTGAATGTTCAACATTTTTCCCAACTGCCGGTGCGACAGGTCAGGAAATTCCAGGTGTTTGGAAAGAATTTGTTCTCTCAACTCGCGTTGGTTCACCTCCATTTTCGTTGAATCAAAAACACGACTTCGAGTTTGACAGCATGTACACAATACACATCAATGAGAAAGTGTGCAAAATTTGATTGATTTTTACCCAATGGTAAAAAAGTTATGCCCTGTTGAATGTGTCGCAATAATTTCGTGTTCGCCCTTTATTGCTGTTCACCACGCCGTCCGAAGCGAAAATGAGCTAATGCCATACAGCAGCGCTCTTTTATATCTTTTCAGGTTAAAGCAGAATGATGTGCAACCAAATGGTATAAAAGCTACAAAGACTCCTCCCATTATGAGTAGTTTGTTATCAAGTAACGACACTGGCTATTTTCCTTTTGTGTACACGGCGAATGAGAACGACCCAAATTTGAGTTTAGTTTACTCATAATCGCCAAAAGTGCAGAAACTCAGCGATGAGTAAATTTGTCTCATAATTTCTTGTGGAAAACCTTAAAAATCTGCCAGAAAATGAGGAAATTGATGAAAATTTTATTCAGTCTCGGAGTAGTACCAATAGACTGAGTGAATCCAATATTTACTTTTCTCAAATTCGGGAATTTTTCCCTGGAAAATCCTGTAAAAACCTGGCAAAAACATGAGGCAAATTTACTCATCGCTGAGTTCCTGCACTTTATTTCTTATTTCTGAGATAACTAAACTCAAATTTGGGTCGATCTCATTCGCCGTGATATCACCTAGAAAGATATCGGCGCCGGTGGTTAGCGTGATTACCTCTCACCCCAGCAGGCCTGGGTCCAATCTCAGTCGGCGCCACCGGCATGTTCTAAGGCATAATACCTCTGATCACGCCTTCCTTCGGAAAGTAAAGCCGTTGGTCCCCGGTTGAGTTGATGGGTCGATTGGTAGGGTCCAGGTGTGGGAGCTGCCTCCCTGGCGTCGGTAGCATTGGAGCTCAGTATGGAAAACAAATCTCGCGTCCCTTTTCAATAGGTCCTATCTACATTGATCGATTCTCTTCATCGACACTCTCTTTCGTAAATAACTCGGCTTCACAACTGTTTCCTGCCGTCTTCGTCGAATTAGATGCCAGATTGTTGCTTCTTCCATCGAAAATATCCGGCCGTGGCGATTCAAAGTTGATCAAGGTTGATCAAAATAATTTGTACCCCTGCTTCCACTTTGATTGCATGAGCATTTTGTGTGATCGTTGGTTCTGAATATGGACAAACAGGCAGATGAATTCTATTCCTACTCTTTACTGTAATAAGCTTGGTGGCCCTGAAAAGAGCCGTTTTGTTGCCAAAGTTGGTGATGATTTAACCTCCGAAACCAAACAGAGTGCGTCTCTGTCACATCAAAACGTAGATGACATCCATGGCCGCTTACGCTTGGCGTGTTTAGTGTAGGTGACAGCATAACGGAATCTCATTTTTCAGGAACACCTCCAGCACACCTCGTAAATCAGACCGGAGATACGTCAGACACCGCCACGGCGAGCCAGACGACGGATGTTGGTTATCTCGAAAAATTTGCGTTTGGTTCTGAATATGGCGATGAGTGTGCAAAATATTAAACAATTCCATCCTCCCTATTCGCACGCGCCCGAGGATCGGAGGCGAATGCCACTTCGACTTGTTTCGTCTACTTACTACTCTCTGACGACTGTGCTGGGGAAGCAGCATATGCATGTAGGTAATTGGTGGAATTGTTTGTTAATTCGACGCTTTTGGACAATGCTGGACATTTACCAGTTTTTCAATAGTTTCTTGTTGAAAATCAACATTGTTATCGATGCATAGCCATATTTCTGATCGATTGGTGATAAAATTATTGAAATTGAACCAGGGGCAGCTGAGTTATTAACGTTCAAAATCTTTCTTAATTTGTTACATGTTCCATTTTTGGTTTTCAGATAGTGTACCCCCATATAGAAATCAAAGACGTAGTCCTACGTCAAAAAAATCATACTGAAGAGTCGTAAATCATACTGTCACGCTCTTAGACTTGGAAGCATTTTAAGGGTTATAACAAATAACATAACAATCTGTAGAAACTAGCGGACAAACGCTGGAATTTCTAGTAAAATAAAAAAAGTATTCAAAGTGCTGATTTCATACAAATATTAAGAAGGATTCCCACACAGTTTTCGAAGGAGAAGTTCTGAGCAGATATCCAGAATTATTCTGATATGAAATCCTTAGAAATTTTTAGATGAATTTGGAAGGATTTCTGTGGAGAAGAATGTTCTCAATTAAACTGTTAGGTAATTTTAGAAGATTTAAAAAGAAGTTGTGAAAAACGGAACTTTGCGGAAAATTCCTACGTGATTCTGAGGAGATTTGTATGGGGATCGTGAGGAAAATGACAGATGAATTTTAAGAAGAATTCCAAGAGAATTATGATCAGAATTCAACAAGAAACAGAGTTCTTAGAATGTTCTGACATTAATTTCTACCCTAGTGCGAAAGATTTATCACAAAACTCCAACAAAATTGAAAGTAAACAATTTGATGATAATTAGAAAGAAATTCTTTAAAATACTCCAAGGGGTTTCTAAACAAAATTTCGAAAGATTTCTGCTGTTTTGAATCGAGTTAAAAGAAATTTTTGAAAAGAATTTCCAAGGAATCAAAGCCTCCGGATAGGCTCAAGGAAGTTCTAAGAAGGATTCCAATTAAATTCTTAGAAGGGGTTGCAAGGAAATTCCTAAAAGAATTCAACGGTAATTATTACGCGGAGTGTTTTCTGGTTTATTTCAGAACAATTTCAAGATAATTCAGAGCAGAATTTCAAGTTAATTCTGGAATTCATATCATGAGAATTTTGAACAACGAAAAATTAAAGCCCCGGAAAAGAATAATTCAGTTTCGGTTGTAACAAATATTTGTTTCCAAAGTCCAGCATCTTCAATATTTTCTTTCAAGGACCATGCACATCAATATCCAATATTGCTGAATGATTAAATTCTAAAAACAATAAGACGGTAAACTGAAGAAACATTTTGCAGCAAATAGAGCACGATGTTCATTTGCTAAAGGATCACTCTGTTTTCATGGTTTATTCTGAAATTCTGATGTAAAAATTTGTTCCTATGATATGGTTAATTTATTTTTTCCCGGTTCTCTTGCCGAATTCCCGGGGTTTCCCGGTTACTTTTCAAATTCCCGGTATTCCTGGTTTTCCCGGTTTGCATGAAAACATGTTCGAAATATGATTATTTTGTTTTGAATTTGCCCGTCTAGGTTGGTGGTTTGTTATCGTTATATACGAGACTTTCAGCCAAATTTCCCGTCTAGATGAAGATCAATTTAAATCCCAAATCGTTTTGAATTGCCGCGGTTTGCTCTCCATCCTGAACTGGTGATAATGATTTTATTGGTCTCGTTGCTGGAAACATCGCAACCGAGGTAAGGAATTTGCAAACGGCTTCAGTAAGCGAAGATATGCGATATGTAAAAATTAGTATTCCGGTGAGAGGTGCTTCGTTCCATAAAGTAAACAAGATTCAATAAAAATATCTTTTAATTAAAGATCGAGGGATGCGTCATCCACGAAGAATCACAGTCGCTCGAAAACCCGTTCTCTCCGGTCAGTGGTGCCGGTGCTGCGGTCAGAGTTATCACGTGGAATCGAGTAATTTAATTTCAATGACAATACACTTGCCCGGGGGACACTGCAGTGGTGGCTATCGTCGTCGTCGTCGTCGACCAACAATCACTCCAAGCAAGCCGTCGTCGTGTGCAAGTCTTTAAGCGTACTGAATTTATGAATAATAAAATAACCTAACAAAATGCGAACGTACGAACGAGAGCAAATGTGCTGAATGAACCCACTGGAATGCTGTTGTCAGTCTAACTAACAGGGGGGAAGAATTCGATGAGCCGTGTTTCGATCGGAACTCTCAAATGTCATGTTAACGAGGTTGCTACTTGTTTAGAAGTGCTAATTTTATTTTCATACGAGGAATTGATAACAAATTGCAGAGTCAGCTTTTGTTTTACGAAAGGGAATTTCCAGGGCGAGGAGCGTCCGTTAAAACAAATCTGTTGACGTTTGATGACTGTAAATATAGAAGATGTTTTCAGAATGAGATGTGTGTAAACAAGTTGCAAACGATACGACGACGCGACGCTTTGACTTGTCTACGACCTCAACAAGCGATTGACCTCATTTGAACGCTTCGATCGACTCGTTAATCAGCATATTCCAATTTGTCCATATAAACGACGAAATTTACAAGCCTGCGTGAAAGAAAAGAATGACGCCCGCCCGAACCAATTCACCTTTTCCACCCTTTTCCTGCCAACCGAAACCACCGTTACTTTTTTGCTGGCTGGCTGGCTGGCTGGCTGCTCACAGTAAATTACAAGACACACACCACGAGGTTGTCAATACATATATAGGTTTAGGTAGCAGGCAGGGGGCCGTGTGCGCCGAATTGTGACTTTTGTGTCGGCGATGGTGACAACGCCATATTACGCAAAAAAAAAACGGAGACAGAAACACCAAATAAACGACGGCAACAACCGGCTACCAAACGAACGCTGGCTCAACCCGAGCGGACGGACCTCAATATCTGTTGAACGCGCGACAACCGATTATGCAACTTTTTTGGACAAACAAAATTTCAACGTTCAACGAACGAATCGAACACGAGGAGTTCGATCCGATGTCCACTTATAGTAGCACATCATAGTCGGAAGGGCATCCAAGTAAGCATGTGTGTAACAAAAAAAAAATATTCCAATCAAATAGGCATTCTCTTGAGTCTTGAGCGCAGCAGCCGACGGACGATTGATGAGTGTCAGAGTTGGTTGCATCATGGGTCAAATTTTGGCCACCGGGACTGATTGCTTACAGTACAAACAACTTTCGGAGACTTGAAGCTGTTTGCTAATTTTAAGGGTCAAGCGGCTTCGCGGGATTTGGCAGCTTCGTTCGCATCACACGCATGCACACAAAATCTCGCGTGGGGGACCGGTTTCGCAACCGGTTGCTTTTATGTTTTATCGAATGCTTTGCCGAAAAAAGTGGTATAATTGATATTTTGTTTATTGAGTTACTCAAGTGTCTGTTCTGCAAGGACCTTGGAGGCGATCGGTGGGGAAAGACGAGATGCTTGCTAGGTTGTCAAATCGAAAACGTATGGCTAACAGAACTTTGAAGATAGTCCCTAGGTCCATAGTATAATACAAGTTTGCCGTTTCAGGGCTTGTAGCGATCAATACTGTCAAAAATAGTGATTTTAGTGATCATGTTGAGTGATCAACTAGTGCCTTATAGTTGTAAAAAAAA